ACTCTATTTTTCAAAAATCGACACAAAAAAGCCAGGAGCCGTTAAATTCGGTGACCTTGGTGACCAGTTGACATCACCAAATCCAGAAATTAAACGTTCCGGAAATATTGTTCGCAAAAGATTCATTGTTTCCCTAGCTGTGTGACAAGTTGCTGGAACCACATGTTTTGCAGGTTAAATTGTTGGATATGAGTTTTGCACCATATATCATGGTCACTAGGCTCTAGTTCTTGGGTTAATTAAATTTTGTATGGCCGCAAATGCAAGTCTTTTTTTAAAATAATGCATAATGACGTGCGACGGATTCCCAGTTCTTGAGAACAATGTCTGGTAGACGTCTCAGGGCGCCCCACTACACGTTCACGAACTCTCTCAATATTGTCGTAGCTTCTTAATCATTGCAACAATCGACTTACTATTTAAGTAAAACGTTTTAACAATACGGACGCGTTGTGGGTTCTTGTAGCGCTCCATGATGAATAATTGGACACATGTGCCTTAAACAACTACTATGGCGCCACCTACTGAAGTGCGTGTATTAAAAATTGCGCGCAATATCAATCAGTCATATATTGGTCACCCGTAGAATCGTGACTTGCGCTTATGACAGGTGTGATTCAGTAGTGTTGCCAGATGGTTCATACTTGGAACAGGGAAGAAACTAGTAATAGGGTAATCAAATCGATAGGGACTATGTAGTATGTACTAATTGTATACGGGCCTATTTGACTGACTTGGTCCTTTCAATTTTTCTGTTATACATGTTTGTAACTAGTTATAAGGGACTAGCTTGTGCCAAACATAATCCTTTACGAACTGATGATAGCGTTGCGTGGGAAGTGCATGGTTAATCCAATTGACGCCATTTTTTTGCTATTTAACCTAGGCGCCGGCAGTGTATGTAAACCAAACATTTATTTACCAATCGGTTCAAAAAAAAATTATACACTCGTATCCCAATATCGCACCTGTCGATATAATTTTAATTTATAGTGAGCGTCTTCAAAATGCTACAGAGGCTTCGCGAATGTACGTAGATCGCTTTCGCAGACGTTATCGTGTAGGGCCACGCAGATTTGATTTCCTTGTGCAAAGAGCTAGGGATGCAGGTCGTTTGCAGGAATATCGAGGGGAACATTGGGAAATCTAGACAACCCCGAATGGTGAAAACTGAGGAATCTGTAGAAGAAAATCCATCAACAAGCGATAGCGTTATCAACTGGATCAATTGTATATGGTCCTGTTTGGCTGACTTGACTCACTCGATTTTTTATTACACCTGTTTTTAACTAGCTGATTGGGACTAAAGGGCCGAACTACTACGGCGCCACCTACTGAAGTGCGTGTATCAAAAATGGTGCGCTATTTAAATCAATTTGATAGTTAGGACAAGGAAGAAACTAGTAATAGGGTTATCAAATCGATAGGGACTATGTAGTATGTATTAATTGTATATGGGCCTATTTGACTGACTTGGTCCTTTGAATTTTTCTGTTATACATGTTTGTAACTAGTTATAAGGGACTAAATTGTGCCAGGCATAATCCTTTACGAACTGATGACAGCGTTGCCTGGGAAGTGCATGGTTAATCCAATTAACGCCATTTTTTTGCTATTTAACCCAGGCACCGGCAGTGTAGGTAAACCAAACATTTATTTACCAATCGGTTCAAAAAAACAAAATGATACCGCAATATCGCACTTGTCGATATAATTTTAATTTATAGTGAGTGTCTTCAAAATGCTACAGAGGCTTCGCGAATGTACGCAGATCGCATTCGCAGACGTTATCATTTAGGGCCACGCTGATTTGATTTCCTTGTGCAAAGAGCTAGAGATACAGGTCATTTGCAGGAATATCGAGGGGAACATTGGGAAATCTAGACAACCCCGAATGGTGAAAACTGAGGAATCTGTAGAAGAAAATCCGTCAACAAGCGATAGAGTTACCAACTGAATCAATTGTATATGGACTTGACTTACTCGATTTTTTGTTACACCTGTTTTTAACTAGCTGATTGGGACTAAATGAACTGATTGCAGCATTATCTGGAAAGTGCAGAGTCAACCTGATTTTTAATTAGTCGAATTGGCGTCTGGGTCGCAAATTTTGCTTCCCGCGTATCAATAGTAAGATCGGGCCTGAGAGAGACGTCAATTTAATTATGGATCGTTTTACGACCAAAATCCCGGACTTTCAGTGCCTATAAAACCCTGGAATAAGTATATGTCCGGTAAAAACCACAACTAAAAATAGCTTTGCAAACCGTCATTCGTCTTGGCAAACCTAGCAAAGTGAAGTATCTCTAAGAATAAAGTACGTTTTAATTACTGCCATGTTTCAAATACCACTCGACCTCGGCTTTGCTCTGCTAATGAAAACGAATTTTTGCGTATTCTTTACAATTAGGAAGACAAAGGAGACGTGCGCTATACTTTACTTAGAATAGATTACATAAGACTTTTAACAATTAAATCTTTTAAAGGTTTTTTTTAAGATCCTTTTGTGATAATGCTTTACCATTGATTAATGAACATCAAACAAACTGAATCATTGTTCCAGCCAGCAATCACATAAAAAATGACTCAGTCGATTTTAGTATAATGTATTTTACACCATCCTGAACAAGAGTTGACTTGAGACCAAAGCAGTTCTGTGATTATTTTCTGAGGAATTATGGGTGAAGTTTGCAAATTTGCAAAAATGGCGAAAAGAAAACGAGATAAATTTTGAATGCTCATCATATTATTTATACAGTCATCATCCAATAAAAAACGATTAATTGTTTTTTCAAATAGTCACAGACAAAATCCTGTATGATATTGATACCATATTATACAATCGTGCGACATTGAAAGAAAAAAAACCTTTTGAAAAACGATCTAAAGAACCTAGGAGTAGAAACCAACCCTTCCTTGTTAGTGTCAGCGCAGCCGCAAAGCTGATTGTGTTGTTTAATAGTTTCAGACCCGGCGCGACTGAGTACCGATTTCTCACAATGTCAAGACTCTTATGGGGAGAAAATCTGAAAATGCAGCAGTTAATTTGTCATTATTTATTGAGGCAAAGTTTCTTATTGATCATTATCTTTGCGTTCAATGTTTAATTTTATTGTTTTCTTTTTTTGACTACTTTTAGTTTGACCTTTTGATGTATACTAAGTGACATAAATCCGAACACCCAGTTTAAATGGTTTTATTTTAATAAAAGTTGGTGAATGATTTATCTTACTGTAAATAACAAGTGAACAAATTTTCAGCCTTATCAGTTGGACATTCCGGTTTTTATACTGCTTTTTTTTAATTCACTAACGCTCTAAAGAATCAACGTTGGCGGATTTTGGTTCTTGACATCGTTTACGATCGGTTACGATGCCTAGAGTACGGAGACCTGTACGATTTCTTAGTGAGTTTGATAGAGGCCGTATAGTGGGACTTCGGGAAGCTGGACTTTCTTTTCGGGCAATTGCAGTTAGAGTGCAAAGAAGTGTGGACACTGTGGTTAGGTGTTGCAAGGCATGGCTTCGAGAAGGCCGTATGCAAAGAGCAAGGGGCACTGGACGGCGCCGTAGAACAACAGACCGTGAAGATCGCCGCCTAAGATTATTGGCCTTAAGGGACCATTTCTCCACTACCAGGTCCATTGCAAATGAATGGTTTGCAGAACACGGAAGACCTATTGGCATGCGAAGTATTTACCGACGAATGAGAAGTTTTGGCTTGTTTTCATACCGGCTACACTGGGTCCTCCCTTTAACTCGAGAACACCGACGTAATCGCCTTGAGTGGTGCAGACAACGGTCACTCTGGGATCAGGAATGGAACAGTATTGTCTTTAGTGACGAGTCTCGATTTTGTTTAGGCATGCACGATGGTCGTACCAGGGTTAGAAGGCGACGTGGTGAAAGGAGGAATCCACAGTTTTTTGTTGAAAGACATGTTCATCACACTGTTGGAGTTATGGTTTGGGGTGCTATAGCTTATGGTTCCAGGTCACCTTTAATCTTCATCAGAGGTAACATGAACGCGCAGCGTTATATCCATGAAGTTCTGGAACCCCATCTTTTACCCTATCTTGACACCCTGGCAGATCCAACTTTCCAACAAGATAATGCCCGACCACATGTTGCAAGAGTCACAATAGACTTCTTTCAACATAACTATGTCACATTGTTACCATGGCCACCAAGATCTCCGGACTCATCCCCAATTGAGCACGTGTGGGATATGATGGGTAGGAGATTGCTCAATTTGCAACGTCCTCCTCAGACTCTAGAAGCACTTCGAGAGGAGTTGGTGGTTGCCTGGAATGAGATACCACAGGAGGACATTGACCACCTGATCAAAAGCATGCCTAGGCGAGTTGGAGAATGCGTAGCACATCAGGGTGCATCCACACATTATTAAAGGCCAAAGGGCTTTAAAGCAGTGCAATCATTTTGAAATTTTCATCATTTACTTATTATGCTTCATTAAGTACTTATACAAAATTTTATTAAAATAAAACCATTTAAACTGGGTGTTCGGATTTATATGTCACTTAGTATAAATCTATCAAGAGGTATATATAAACGCATTTCATTTCGTCGATGTTTCATTTTTGAAAGTATGAGTTGACATATGTCAAACAATATACTGGTTCATGCGTTATTCTAGGCAAACGACATTTTTATACCAAAGAAGACGGAAAGTTCGCCAACAAAACCAGGGCGCGACTACAGGAGGGTTAAATGTCTGTAACGCTGAGAGTGCGGACGTCTGTTCTGTAGCGAATTTTTAATAAAGATAAGAAGGAGCTTGTTTGGTGATACTTTTATGAAACTTTCAAACTGAATGCAGGATCCCTACATATTTAATTCCTAACAGTTGTAGGTTGCAGTAGTGTTCAAACGCACGCATGAATTTTGACATTTCTATTGCTATGTGAGGATACATCTACTATTATGTAAGATTTTAAGGTTACGTATCCTCTTTTTAACATAGATAAGACTTGTTCTCTGATGATCGTGATTTATTCAAACAAAGCTTGTGAAACTGCATTATTTTTTCGGAAATATTCTGTCAATGGTATACATTACAAACTGTTTTTTTTTAAATCCGATTTCTTGTTGTTTCAGCATATGGCCAATGCGATTTTGCTGGTGACAGCCAACATTCTGGGACTGACTTCCTATTTAGTGGAAGACAAACAACAAAGGAAGGCGTTCCTTGAGACTAGACAATCCTTAGAAGTAAAATTGGTTATAGAGGAACAAACGGCAGAACAGGTAACACGACAGAAGCAATTGATTAACGTATTCTACCTCAAGACAGCCAAACATGTACTGTAATTAGGCTTCCACAGACAAATCTGAAAGATACTAGAGCCATCTCTGACACATTAGCAGAATCAAACAGTCTCCTTGAGAGGGACATGCGCTGTTTCTTGCTCATTAGCAACTCGTCAGTGCGGTATAGGTATAAGTTTAGTAGCCAATTTTGGTGGTGCGACATATAAATGTGCATTACGCAGAGCATCGAACAGATATGGAGCCGGTAGCGTAGAAATCTTCCGTTACCTTTCAACGTATGGGATGAGGATGAATATTAACTTGGCAAACCATTGGTGGATGGAGATCTTCAGATTTTTCGCCTACCTTCCAAAGTAGGGTGATTTTTTGCTAGTATCTTTTTGGCAACACTGTTTTTTGACTGATGACGCGTGAATCGTGTCTTGTGTCATTGTCAGACTTATTCAGTTTGGTCTATAATTTAACCATGAATCGACTTACGAACGAACAACGCTTGCAAATTATTGAATTTTACTATCAAAATTCATGCTCGGTTAAGAGAGTGCATCGAGCACTGCTTAAAATTTATGGGCAATTTGGTTGGCCTACTGAGGGAGCTATTCGGAAGCTTGTGACTAAATTTCGAACCCAGTTTACATTATTGGACATTAAGCCACCAACACGCAGACGTAGAGTGAGGACTGAAGAAAATATTGCGGTTGTATCCGCCAGTGTTAGTGATGACCGTGGAAAATTTTGCTACAGGATTTGGGTGTAATACCTTATCAGATACAGCTGGTGCACGAATTGAAGCCACACGACCTCCCACAACGTTTCCAGTTTGGTGAATGGGCGCTGGCAAAGTTGGAGGAAGATCCACAATTTTATCGAAAAATTGTGTTCAGCGACGAAGCTCATTTCTGGTTGAATGGGTACGTTAACAAGCAAAATTGCCGCATCTGGAGTGAAGTCCAGCCAGAAGCAGTGCAAGAGATACCAATGCATCCCGAAACAATCTCTATTTGGTGTGGATTATGGCCGGTGGCATCATCGGGCCGTACTTCTTCAAAGACGACAATGGCCGGAACGTAACGGTGAATGGCGAGCGCTACCGTGCGATGAAAATAAACTTTTTGTTGCCCAAATGGAAGAGCTGTACTTGGCTGACATGTGGTTTCAACAATACGGTGCCACATGCCACACCGCACACGAAATAATGGCCCTATTGAGAGGCGAGTTCGGTGAACAGTTTATCTCACGTGTGGGGCCCGTCAATGGGCCGCCTAGATCGTATGATTTAACGCCGTTGGACTATTTCTTGTGGGGCCATGTTAAGGCTAATGTCTACAGGGATAAACCAGCAACGATTGACGCACTGGAAGCCAATATTGAAGCATTTATTCGTGAGATACCGGCCGATATGTTGGAGAGAGTGTGCCAAAATTGGACCTTGCGCATGGGCCATCTAAAGCGGAGCCGCAGCCAACATTTACATGAAATAATCTTTAAATATTGAATTAACATATATCGACCGTTCTATCGACTCAAATAAAGATTTAATCGTTTTTTCAAATTTTTGGTTTTTTTTTTTTTGAAAATCAAATCCTATACCTCTTAAAAAATCACCCGTTATATTTCTAAATTAATTTTTGCATTCTGCTACTGTCTCCTAGATGGCGCTGATGTCTTCCAGATCCCTTTTTGGACGCCGAGGTATATGGTTGGCCGTCTTCAGATAGTATGCGTCAATAAATAATAAAAGACATTTTTCATTACTGTATTTTCGTTTATTTTTTGTTTGTAGGAACGCCTATTGCTTTCTGTTCTACCGGAACATGTAGCCGTACAAATGAGGCAAGATCTGGTAGAATCTACCGATAGTCAGTTTAAGAAAATTTACATGAGCCGCCACGAGAATGTTAGGTGAATATTTCAGTTTATATTCAATATTAATATCATACCAGAAAAATACGATCCAATGTATCTCCGAATAATCTCTTTTTGTTGTACTGCTGTACTTGTACTTGTGTTGTACTTGCCCTTGAGACGGCGAAGTAAAACATTTAAGACCACACTATTGTGTCTTAGACTATTTTCTCACAAGCCAAACAACATGGTTTTCTTTAGATATCGAAGTACTATTTCTCGCATTTCAGATCCATGAACAATGCACAGCGTTAGTAGTTGAATATTGCATAACAGTTAGCCGGTATGTTGCGATAATAGTTTGTGTCGGAAGGGGTCACAGTATTCATATTTAGGAAGGTGTTTGTCTCCGGCGGGGTATTATGTAAAAAATCTAAACAAGTAAAAAAAATGACGAAATGACATTTGCAGACTACGTAGATTTTAAGAGTACAAATATACTCAGTGACAATTAATAAGAAAAATAAAATAATGTGTTGAGCAACCCCTCAGCTGAATACACTCCTGTATATATACCTACTTATATAAGAAGGCCTGCACTCGTTTTACATGGTAGGGATAAAGCAAATTTTCCCGTAGGATTCTATGGACTATGGTATGCGATAGTCCTACGCGGCGGCCTAATTCTTGAGTGCGAATATTAGTGTATTTGGTACACTTCTGCCTGGGTGTACCCGTTGGCGAAATAAATCAGCGATAAATTTGAGCTGCAAGATTTAAATTGTGACGTAAACTAACAACATGTCGGCGAACTCTTGATTCGAGAACATTGTAAATAAACACGACGACGTACGCGAACAGTAACTAACCACTGTTACCGTTTGCGATCGATTGCCTGTTCGATAAGAGTGATGAATGACCGACGCGCTGTTGTCATGTGTGTTTTAAATATTTAATTTAATGAAACTTACTTACTTACTAACTACAAATTTTGGCTTAACTTAGAAAAACACTTAATGCCATTTATTTGTTAATTACCCAATTTAAAGCGTTTTAGATTAGATTATAAAAATTAGTAAGATTGTGGTGATTGTGGTCGATATGAAACACTTAAAGTTGTAAGCTATAAAGCCATTTAGACAAAAATCTGTTGGCTTTTGGACCATGGGTTGTATGAACTTTTTGACTTGTTTTGACGCCCCCCTATTACCTATTTTAATAATGACTACCAAAACGTTTACACCCTGTATTTGCAAAAGGTCTTTGTTTCATTAAATTTATCGAAGATATTCAAAAGACCTAAATATTACTGGTCAAACTGTATACGCCCAAGGAGGTCGTGGATCCGTGCTTGCATATACAATATGAAGCTCTTAGTACCTTGCAATTTTCAATTCTAACTAGGTCCTTTGGAATGCTCCTGATATCACAACTTATGTGTGTTATAAGTTTGGAAAGTTTTTAACCTGCCGCATTAGGAATATACAAGACACTGATTATATCTATGTTTTAGTATATTATATGCTGATATCGTGGGATTTACGGCTATTTCGTCAACGTATTCAGCTCAAGAGCTGGTGAAAATGCTGAATGAGCTGTTTGCAAGATTCGATAGACTTGCAGAGGTAAGTTGAATCAACATGATGGGATCTTATGTAGTGTTATCGACCTCTCCACCCATGATGAGATAATAAATATTAACGATAATTATCGCTGTATTTAGATGCATCGAAGGTATCTACTTTGTTCATATTATAAAAAGTGGCAAGGGCAAGGATTCCGCGTCTAGTTATTATTGGTTTTTATATATAAATCATAAGTTCTAGTAGACTTTCTATATCGTTCATAATCTTTATTAGAACAGAAACATGTGACTTTTCGAACACAATTTTTTCTAGAAGTTAAAACTAGGCGGTTAGATTGAAACACCCGTAATTAAATTTTTGGTCTCTTTTTCAGAAATACCATCAGCTGCGAATAAAAATACTAGGAGACTGCTATTACTGCATTAGTGGTGCTCCAAAAGAGAGACCTGACCATGCAGTATTATGTGTTCATATGGGGTTATCAATGGTAAAAGCAATCAAGTAAGTTCTCAAGGCTTTTTATAAAATTGATTCCCAGTAGTCTAAAGTGCGATCATCTAATCTATCTGTTTTTAATTGTGAAAGATCAAGGAAAATGTATTGGATTTTTTATTGACCATCAACTACAATAAAACATATTACAATGCCTTTTGTAACCACACAAAGCACTAAGTTGCCTGAATATCAAGCTCTAACCATCAGCAAAACTAAAAATCAAACAATTAAAATTTCACGGAAACAACATATAAAATACCTTGGCATTTTTTTTTTCGATAATTGATTTTACTAGAATATACACATAGGCTAAGAAATCAAGATTCCTACTGTAAAAGTTTGATTACTTTAAGAACTTAACAAAAACAAATGATTGCACTCTATCATACTTTAGTAAAGTGACATTTTTTTTTTTTTTATATCGAAACACCGCGGCTGCTATGATGATCCCAAAGAAATTTTGTTAATACGATTTTTGAACTGCCTAAGGTTAGTAGAACTGGGAAAAGCTTCCTCCCGTAGTTTGTTCCACAATCTAGACACCCTCGGGACAAAGGAGCGGTCGTATCGGCCAGTTCTGTATGTACGAAGTTTGACACGGTTAGGATGGGACGCCGAAGTCAGGCGGGTCTGTCTGGCAGGCACATCGCGCGGCGGCATCATGGAAGAGAGCTCTGAGGAGCAAAGCCCGTTGGTGTAGCGATAGAAAAGAGCTAGATCGCCGACGGCCCGCCGGTGCGAAAGAGTCCCGAGACTGTCTGTTAGAGAAGAGTCATCGATCAGTCGGACCGCCCTCCTCTGGACAGCATCGAGCATGGACAATGTAGTCGGGGCGGCAGCACCCCAAATGTGTGAGCAATACTCGAGGCTAGGCCTTATCTGGGCCTTGTATAGAGTGAGAAGGTCATGCGGAGAAAAGTACTTCTTAGCCCTAAACAAATAGCCTAGCTTTTTCCCAGCAGCTGCAGCTATTGAAGAGATGTGTTCGTGCCAGATCAGGTCCTCGGTGATCTGGACTCCGACCAGCCGAAATGAATGGCTCTTTGGTAGAACTCGACCGTCCATCGAAACTGTATGAGCGCTAGGACACTTTTTGTTCGTCAAAGTACAGTACTGTGTTTTGGAAGCATTGAACTGTACAAGATTGTTGCGTCCCCAAGCAGTGATAGCCTCCAGGTCTCTTGTAAGAGAAGAAGTCGTCGCTAGTCTTCTTTTTTCCAGCTCAGCGGCAGAGATCGGCTTGTCACTCCGAATTCCTGCATGTAGAGTGCTGTCATCAGCGAAGCTGTGGATTGGGTTGATCGTGCAGGAAAGGAGGTCGTTGATATGTAAGAGAAACAGTGTTGGAGCCAAGACCGATCCCTGGGGAACACCCGCGTTGACGTTGTGGGATGAAGAGGAGAATCCGTCAATTACGACGGATATCTTGCGGCCAGAGATAAAGTCAGCCACCCATCTGCAAAGCTTTTCTGGGAGGCCGTAGGATGGAAGTTTGCTCAAGAGGGCAGCGTGCCACAGCTGATCGAACGCTTTCGTGATGTCAAGAGCAACGACATGAGCCTCACCATGAGACTGGATGAGTTTACTCCACAGTTGCGTGACGTAAGCTAGGAGGTCCCCTGTGGATCGTTGGTGCCGGAAACCGTACTGCCTGTCGCTAATCAAGCTGTGACATTCGAGGTAGTCCAGAAGCTCGCGATTTATGCACCTCTCCATCACTTTACTGATAACAGAAAGCAGAGCTATAGGCCTGTAGTTGTAAGGGTCGGTTTTAGATCCTTTTTTTGGGATGGGCTGTACATGAGCAAATTTCCAGTTTTCTGGGAAGGTGCCGGATTCATAAGATATCTGGAAGAGACGCGAAAGAACTGGAGCAAGCTCAGCTGCACATCTCTTCAGTACAATGGCAGGAATCAAGTCCGGACCAGAAGCTTTGTTGATGTCGAGCGACAAGAGCACTCGTCTTACGGTCTTATGCCTGAATGTTACCTCCCGCATAATGTGGGGAACCCTTTGAATTGACGGCACTTGGGCGTTGGTGGGGACGTCCATGGTGGAGTTGGCAGCAAAGATCTTGGCTAGCACTTCCGCCTTGGCCTTTGAGTCGAATACAATAGTTCCATCCTGACACGTAAGTGGTGGAAGGCTACTGTGTGAGAAGTTCTTTTCAATCTGCTTGGCCAGCGTCCAGAAAGACCGACTGCCATTGCGCTGCGTCATTACCCTGTGCCTAACTTTTATATCATGCTGGGTTTTGGCATTGCGAACCGCTTCGTTATATTTGTTTCTGGACTCGACGTCGGCTTGTCTGTTCTCTACAGTGGGGTTTTGTAGGTAGGTTCTGTGGGCCTTGATCTTCTGCTGGCGAGCAGTGTCACACGATTTGTTGAACCAGCCGTTGGACCCTGGTTAGGAACTTTCACTGTGTGAGGGATGTATTCCTCCATTCCGACGTGGATAATTTCGGTTATTGAAGAACAGACAGTCGACGCATCCGCGTCAGTGAAACAGACATCTCTCCAAGGAAAGCTAGGGAAGAAGTCTCTGAGCCCCTCCCAGTCGGCATGTCCGTAATGCCAAGTTTTGCGGCCTGTGCGAGTTTCTGCGGCCACAGCGGCTTCTGACCGAAACCTAGCCTCCACAACACCGTGATCTGAGTTACCCAGGGGGGACAGGACGGCAGTGCTGTAAGGGGCAGGATGCGTGGTCAGAAAGAGATCCAGCAGGCTACTGGCGTGTGACGAGATGCGGGGGAAAAAGTAGGGCTCGTCACCAGCTGGGTCAGCCCTTGAGTAAGAGCGAACGCTTCGACTGCACGACCTGCTGCATCGGTCTTATTTGAGCCCAACCAAAGCTCATTATGGGCATTGAAATCACCGAGAAGAACTACCTCTGAAGCGGGGTGATTGATGTTCAGGAAGTCGATCTGGACGGCGAGGTATTCGAGTAGGTCATCCCAGTTATGGTTCGAGGGAGAGCGATAAAGGCAGCAAATAAATTTGGGTGATGTTTTGGAGTTGAGGCGAAGCCACAGAATGTCCTTCCGGTCTGATTCCAAAGAAAGATCCCTGGAGCAGGAAAGCCTGCTGCGGACAAAAGCCACAACTCCCCCGTTCTTTCTCAGATTGGAGTGCACCTCGTAGTTTGGGAAGTTGAGATGGTTAATCGGTGCAGCCTCTGAGATTTTTGTCTCCGCCAAGAAAAGCACGGCGGGACGATTGGATTGCAGGTAGTGATGAACAGCATCAATGTTGCTGTTGATCCCGCAGATGTTCGAAAAACAAATTTTATCTTCGATGTTGTTCCCTCGAGCCCACCCTCCACCCGGACATTCCGAGAGTGGAGTGAGTTTACGTCCGGAGAGAGAGAGAGAGAAATTAAAATTCGAAAAAGTAACAAATAAAATAGAAGCTGAGGTGTGTAAGTTTTTTTAGATACAAAATTCAGCACTCCAAATTCCAAAATGGCGGATTGAGGGGTTGCCGAATTGGACGGTTTTCTGGACAAAACACCTCACATCTCAGTAGCTAATTACCAAAACCCCATAGTAAGTTATATCAATCTTCTTCTTTTGAAGTGGTTTATCCGAATATGCAATAAAATTTGAGGCATTCCTTTTAAAAATCATAACTTTGATATGTAGGTCAAACTTCGGACACCCTGTATAATTGCCAATATTTTAGAAATGTGCACTCAAATGTTATGTATAACATGCCATAAATAGATTTTCCCAAAATATATTTGTTTATGAGTAATATTCCGTCCACACATGGATGGGCCACCCTGTATACTTATGGCATATATTGTCTTCCGATTGTCTACATGGAATCGTAAAGAATCAATGTATACGCTTAAACGCCCACCACAGGTCCAACTAGTAAACTATAATATCGTTGGTCATTATGCCATAAACCTTTTATTATCGCGCCTAGACATCGTTTTGATAGCAACCACGAGAACAGTAAACATTTAAGTATGCTTTAACTTCTCCTTTAGCGACGTAAATATACTTTTATATGTCTTTTATCATTGAATCTAGAGCTGGGCTCAAAATATTACTTAAGTAATTCTGAAATTAGCGTTCAACAATGAAATAAACAAAACACGCTCTAAAAGCGCAACTTTCCACCTCGTTAAGCGGCTTCGTATCTCTTACCGTTTCGAACATCCCAATGGTGAGGATCGAATTTAAACCACCTGGTATATTGAACTGATAATCTCGTTAACTTATAGGTATGTTCAACAAACTGGCAATTGTCCTTTAGACATGAGAGTAGGGATTCATACAGGAGCAGTTCTAGCTGGGGTACTAGGACAACGTCAATGGCAGTTTGACGTATACTCACAAGACGTAGAGCTGGCGAATCATATGGAAAGCAGTGGATTGCCTGGGTACGATATAAGTATATATATAAAAAGAGAAAAAGATCATGTGGAGAAAGGTATATAACAAAAAGTAGGAAAATAATGGGCAAAATCCGCAAAAAGGATGAAAGTGAATGCGAGCATAAAATAGGATAGGTAACCCGAGCGATACGTATTTCTGCTGGTTGGCCCAAAATGAATGTACATATGCAACTACAAAAGTAGATACACATGTCCACACATCCGGATACGGGTGTAACCTGAGGAAACGAAGATGTAGAGAGAAAAAATCGACACACAACGTCCACAATAACAGCCAGCCTACACATTGTAGTATAAAATGGCTAGAAGACCTCGAGTTTTCAAGGACACATCTAACCACAACCATCCATCTTCGTTTCCTCAGGTTACACCCGTATCTGGATGTGTGGACATCTACTTTTGTAGTTGCATATGTACATTCATTGCGGGCCTGATGAAGCCAACTAGCAGAAATACGTATCGCTCGGGTTATCTATCCTATTTTTTCTGCTCGAACCCACTTTCCCTCTTTTTGCGGATTTTGCCTATTATTTTCCTATTTTTTGTTATATACCTTTCTTCGCATGATCATTTTAACCACATATACATGTGGTTAAACTACAAATCGCTGCAGAAAATTATTTTCGGTTCAAAATAAAACTTTTCGAAATAATTTCTAGAGATTTTGTTTTAAAATGTTTCCTTATTATCTGCAGAAATCTATATTTCGATAAATTTTTTAGGCGAGTTCATATCTCAAACGCAACTTTGTCGTTCCTCAATGACGACTTTGAAGTTGAGAGAGCACACGGTGAAGATAGGGATGAGAATTTGAAAGCGAATGGCATTGTTACGTACTTTATAGTAAAGGTGCTAAAACCAGTAAGTTTCTAAAGAATGGCTTGATAGCGTTCTAGGTATTAATATATGTATTTTATATTCAGTTTCAGCCGAGTTGCCAAGATGTTCAAAATGGCGGTGGGATTGTACCAGAAGAGGATAGCTGTGTTATAGCAGAAATTGTATGTGATAAAGAAGATGTAAATGTATGTTATTCGTTATATCAGCATGTTTGTCAGTATTGGTGTTTTCACAGTTAAACTACAGGATGTACTTTCACATCTTCCTCACACATGCATTCGCAATCATTTTCTATGCTTGGATGTTTGTGTAAGCTTGCAAAGTTTTGCCCCACCGCCTTGAAATGAAATTTTCCCGTCAATGTATGAAACTTCCAGATTTATGTTTATCCCCGACACTATTACAACTTGATTGCCATCGGCGTGTGATTTGAGCTTACCTTTTATTTAATAATTAGCATTGGTGTGCTTGCAGATACAACTACAATGTTGACAGTCTGTGTTGAATTCATTGGGGAGTTTTCGGAAAGTGGGTAAAAACAACGGTCTTCAATCACCCGATCCATGTGTGTGTACAAGAGCAAGTAGCAGCTGGACGGTTCAAAAAATCATAAAATAGTTAATTTTTACTCGAAAACAAATTTATTGATGGAATCAGGTTCACAAGGAAATAGCATTTGAGACAATCAAGTGTGGAAAATCACATCAGGCATGTGGTGGCCGAAATCGTTGATGCAGTGCTGGAGGCGTTCTTGGAAGTTCGCGTAGACTCTCTCCAACATCGCTCTCTCAACTTGGGCGACTTCCACGCGAATTTCGCCCTTCAATTCGTCCAGAGTTCGGGGCTTGTTCGCGTATACTCTAGCAGTAGATACTGGTGCACTCTGGGCGCCCCCCACCACTTCCACTTTTTGGCCACGCCCACCACATCCACCGCGTGCTCTGATTGGCGGATCAAACGGCGGGAAATTTGAACGGGGTTGATGGTATATGTTGATTGGCGGGAACCGCTAGATCCACCGCGTGCTCTGATTGGCGGATCAAACGGCGGGAAATTTGAACGGGGTTGATGGTATATGTTGATTGGCGGGAACCGCTAGATCCACCGCGTGCTCTGATTGGTGGATCAGACGGCGGGAAGTTTGAACGGGTTGATGGTATATGTTGATTGGCGGGCCCCGTTAGATAGCGCACCCGACCGGAAGTGATTCAGACAGCCGACGATAGTAAGGTGTAGTATAACGTCTATGCGTAAGCGATGTGACTCATTTCATGTTTTGCGGTAAATATTTGCATATAGATCGATAAAAGCCCATGAATAATGATATTTATAGATGCAATTCTGCTGATTCAGTTTAAATGGAAAAACGTATAAAATTCGCGGGAAACAATGCGTATAGGATGATCTCAATAATCAACACGTCATATTCAGTGTGCATATAAAAATGGAATTGCTCATATATGTGGTGCATACAGTTAATGTTAGTTAATTTTTAACATTGATACAATATTGAAAACCTACGTCGCAAATGAGGTTAGGTTCAGGGCAGGTGTTGTCGTAGCGGTGATATGCAAGAAGTACCGGGCGGGGCTGTTAAGCATGGGTGAATGGGCAGGAAGCGCAGGCTGTCAACGAGTTAATACTGACCAACGATAACAGCGGTGACCTTGAAACACTGTGGTCAGTTAAAAAGTGGTGGGGGTAAAATCGAGATTATAAATACCTATGAATCACCGCAAATTATCTTGTCAGTTATCTGCAGCGAACAGACGTGCTCAGTTCAGATTTAGTCGCTAGTTAACGTTTTAGTTTTTAAAAAATGGAAAAATTCTTCATCGTTAAGGATTCTACTAAGAAGATTAAAAAATTTAATCTATATGGGCGAGAAGTGGAATTTAAAATACGACCTATCCCTAAAGACGTCGAACCTGTGGGATGGATCAAAGACGCTCTGGAGGAAATAGTAGCCAAAGGAACTGAACATCTCCAGCCCAGTGATCAAGTTGGATTCACTTTCTGTTCCAAAGACTTTACCCGCGGTCAAGGATGGATAGCTTTTAAAATGTTTTCCGACGTTTCAACTGAGGACATATGGGAGAAGATATCTTCCATCTATCAGTCAAATTCTGTGGGGTTGAATACCGAGACTTTTTGCTTGGGTATTACGTCCGTAAGGTTGCCTGCTGGTCGTGGTAGAGCTCAGAATTTCAATACCTTTGATGAGGAATGCGCCAAAAGAAAAGGCATTATCACCGTTAAAAACACCGATAATTTGTGTCTCCCACGAGCCCTTGTCATCGCCATGGCCCATTTGAACAAAGACAAAGATTATAGCAGAATCCGCCGTGATCGAGGAAAAAATACAAGGACAAAGAGCTGTACAACTTGTGGAAAAGGCTGATATTGTTATCCCTGAGGAGGGGTGTGGAATACCTGAACTTCAAAAGCTACAACGATATCTGCAAAACTACAAAATTGTTGTATACAAGTTTGGGTGCAAAGGTCGTGACGTCATTTTTGAAGGCGTGTCCGCTGGTCCGACGCTTAACCTAATATATCACGAGGGGCACTACAGCGTCATAACATCCCTCACTGCTGCCTTTTGCTGCAGCTTTTTTTGTGAGAACTGCCACATTCCGTATAATACTAAACAAATTCATAGATGTGATAAACAATGTTATGCTTGTAAAAGATCTCCGGCCTGCCTGAAAACGAAGCACATCAAATGCAAAGAATGTAATAGAAGCTTTTATGGACAAGAATGTTTTAACGCTCATTTACCATCGGTCTGTTCTAAAATTAAAAGATGTGTAGACTGTTTTAAAGTTCACAACGGTAATGATCACATCTGCGGATATATACTTTGTAAAACATGTTATAAAAATCAACCAATTGAACATATGTGCTATATACAGCCTGACAGAAGTATTCCTAAATCAAATGATGTCTTATTAATATTTTACGATTTGGAAACCCGTCAGGAGAAGGAATTACCCAATGGATCTTTACTGCATGAGCCAAATCTATGTGTATTCAAACAATGTTGTGAATCATGTACCGATAATCCTATATGCAAGAAATGTGGCCTTCGAATACAGATTCTTCGATGTCAAGACGTCATTTCTCCATTTATGCATCATATTCTGACACTTCGTAAAAAATTCAAGAAAGTCATTGTACTGGCGCATAATGGTGGAGGATTTGATCATCAGTTTCTACTTCGTTACATTTTAGAGAAGACTAGTCTGTACCCGAATGTAATTATGAGAGGAACAAAATTAATATTGATGGAGGTAGGAAATGTAAAATTTCTGGATTCTCTCAATTATTTTCCTATGCCTCTAACTGCTCTACCCAAGGCGTTTGATTTGAAAGAGCTAAAGAAAGGATACTTTCCACATTTATTCAACACTTTGGCTCATCAGAATTATGTAGGGCCAATTCCAGCGCTCGACTTCTACGATCCCGACCATTTAAAGGAAGACGCTCGGGAAAAATTATTAAAATGGCATGGCGAAAGACAAGCGGAGGGATACGTTTTTGATTTTCAGAAAGAAATCGTTGAATACTGTATCTCCGATGTGGAAATATTGACACAGGCGTGTCTCAAATTTCGAGACCTGATGAAAACCGAAACCACAGTCGATCCCTTCCAGGAAAGCACCACTATTGCATCATGCTGTAACAAAGTCTTTAGACGCAATTTTTTAAAACCTGAGACGATCGGGGTAATTCCAAAAGGGTTCTATAGATGGCGTGAAAATCAGTCAAAAATTGCCATCCAATGGCTGTTGTGGGAGGAACATCAAAGAGGAATCAAAATTCAACACGCCGCTAAGGGTATAGAAACCATTGTTAAGGGACATAAAGTAGACGGTTTTTGTAGCGACACAAATCAAGTGTTTGAATTCCAAGGATGCTATTTTCACGGTTGCCCTCGATGTTTCAAATACAAAAGAAGCAATCCTCTGCATAATGATCCGTTGAATACATTGGAAAGTCGATACGAACAATCAGTTAGCAAAGTAGAGAGACTCCGAAGCCTTGGACTAGAAGTAATTGAGATATGGGAATGTCAATTTCGAGGAATGCTAAACGATGAAATTAGAGCCTTCACAGAAGCACATCCATTGATAATCAATTTACCGATTAACCCCAGAGACGCTCTCTACGGGGGACGTACAGAAAATATCGTTGAATACTACAAGATCAAAACAAATGAATGCATAAAATATGTCGATATATGTTCCCTGTACCCCTTCATCTGTAAATATGGAAAATTTCCGGTGGGTCATCCAAAAAAAATTTACGTAGGTGAAGAATGTGTTACAGCCTCTCTGTCGCAGATGTCAGGACTTATTAAATGCCAGATTCTACCGAACCAGAACTTATATCACCCCGTTTTACCGTCAAAAATGAACAACAAATTGATGTTTGTTAACTGTCAAAAATGTGGTGAAGATTTCGTTCGAGAAGAGTGTCAGCATTCTATTCAAGAAAGAAGCCTAAAAGGAACTTGGGTGATAGAAGAGGTGCTCAAAGCTATTGAAAAAGGTTACCAGATTATAGAGACTTACGAAATATGGGAATACGATACAATTCAGCTCAGTAAAGACCAAGAGGGGTTATTTAGCGGAATGATGAACAAGTTTCTACAAATAAAACAACAAGCTTCAGGATGGCCCAAACATTGCTTAACGGATGAAGAAAAAAACCGTTATATTGATGCATTTTTGGATAGAGAAGACATAAAGCTGGAATTTTCAAAAATTATAGAGAACCCCTGTTTGAGATCGTTAGCTAAACTTATGCTGAATTCCTTTTGGGGTAAATTTGCTCAAAAAGAAAACCAAAACAAAACCTCAATAGTCAGAGACTGTGGTGAATTCTTTGATATGCTGACTAATCCTTCTATTCATGTAAATACAGTTCTCCCGGTAAACGAAGAAACCCTTCTCATAACTTGGGAATTTAGAGAAGAGGCCTATGACGTTTCTTCAACGGTTAACGTTGTATTGGCTTCATATGTCACGGCCCTAGCTAGACTAAAATTATATTCATTCTTGGAGAAAGTGGAAGAAAGGGCAGTTTACGTAGATACAGATTCATGTATTTATATCTCTCGTAAGGGATTAGACGACATATCTACAGGCGACTTCA